CCAGGACCTCACCTGTGGCACGTGAGGTGGCCGTCCGCCCGGGAGCAGGAGGGGCTCAGGTCCTCAGCGCCTCTCTGTCCACCTCTCTTTCCTGTCACATCCTCGGTAATCTGCAGTGATGTCTGGGCTGTGGTAAGAGCAGGGACGCTTACCCTCCTAATATGGAAGGCTAATTAATTTGTATTAGGGTTTAGGGATAATTAAACTTTTTATCTGAACTTAAGCTGCACAAACCACCCGCCTTGTACAATTAATTGCTGCCTTCACTTCCTCCTTCAGGTGCTGAGAGATAAGTGTGAGCTGAGCAACCTCATCTGATTCTGCCTGCGTCTCGGGCAGGGGCAAGGCTGCGCATCTGGCTGGGCGTCCGTTCTTTACTGGAAGCCAGGCAGTGCCCATTCAGGACCCAGCTGCTGGGAGCTCCGTCAGGGAGACACGTCCTTGAGTTTCTGCAAGGGGGCTGTCTCCCCCTCACTGCCACACTTACTTCTGCACCCACCTTCTCCACCGGGAGGCCCCTGAACTTGGTTCCTTCCTCTGCTCCTGGACCCCTGGTATTGGGGATGCAGATGGGGGTTGGAGGTTGTCCCGGTGGGTGGGGTCAGGGTGGGGAGAGGCCTTCTCTGGGCAGGCTGGGCACCATGGCGAGTTCTAGGGACCTCAGACCCCTGTGGTCACCTCCTTGTCCAGGGCAAAGGACAATGGTAGTCTATCCTGGAGGACCCTAAAACACCAGCCTGGCCAGTTAGAGAGCAACAGGGAGCTTCAGAGGTGACTGCCTCCAGGGCAACAGCCTAGCCATACCCTTGCAAACGACTTTAGCCCTGTGCTGTTGATTGTCAAGGAGTGGGACTTGGGAAATCAAATGAAAGCCTTATATCACTTTTCCTTCCTACAGCGTGCCTCTCCCCCCACCCGCGATCTCCCCTAAACAACCAACCCACTTTAGTTGTGTCCCTGCAGGGAAGTACTCTCCTGGGTTCACCTGCAAAATGGCCCCCGTGGTGAGCCAGGAGCCAAAAGGATGGGTTGGCATTTTGGAACCTTGAGGTGCCTCTGAAGATGCCATCTGAGGGGGCAGCTGAGGCTCAGGGCAGGAGGACCTAATAACAGTCACTGTAAAATTCAGTAACGATCTATTTTTATTTAGCATCAATATGCACCGTTTGATCTTCCTAACAGCCATACGAGGTATTATTAGCTCCGTTTTTGAGGAAACTAAAGCTGAGGGAGGCTGAGTACCACGTGCAGGGTCATCTGCGTGGCCAAGCCAGTGTTCCAAGCCAGCCTCCCATGGCTTCAGAGCACCCCTCTTTCTCTGTGTCCTACTGCAGGAAAGGAGAGAAGTGCGAAGGGAGATGTTTCTGGGTTCGGCCAGCACAGACTCCTGGGAAAAGGGGATGCCTGATCCTTCCAGGCCACTGGTGTGGTTGGCCTGTGGTGCAGGGTCGCAGCCAGTCACAGCAGCGGGTTCTTGGCCACTGGGAGTCTGTGGCAATAGTCTCCATGCCTCGCCCCCCCCCCCCCCGCCCCCCGTCCACGGCAATTGTGCCAGGTGACGGAGCTGTTCTAAACCACTGTTTCTCAAACTTTCATGTGCATTGGAATGACCCGCAAGGTTTGTTAAAACAGATTGCCGGGCTCCGACCTCACTCAGATTTCTGATTCTGCAGGTCTGGAGTGTGCCCTGAGAATATGCATTCTAACCACGTTCCTAAGTGACACTGCTGTTGGTCATCTGGGGAACAGGCTTTGAGAACCACTGCTCCAAAGCATCCTCTTTCCACAGGTCACACATCTGCAGACTCACAGAATGTCAGAGCGGCAGAGAGCTGCCGGCAACCAGCCTCAGGCCGGCCATTGCACCTATGAGGAAACCAAGACCCCACGATCAGAAATCAGGTGGCGGAGCCTTTCTCATGGCCCAGAGAAATGCCCTGCCTGTTTTGTTTACTCCACACACACCCAAAGCTGCATGAGCCCACACGTTTCCACCCCTGACCCTCCGGGCGGATCGATTCATCAAACACCTGCTGGGTGTTTACCCTGTGTTCCTCACTTTGCTAGGTGCCCAAGGGTGCAAAGCTAAATAGACAGCCTCTGCCCACATGTCCCCTGAGCTTACGATCTCAGGGAGGGCAGACAGGCGATCACGATGATGATTCAATGGCATGATGCTACAAGAAGAATGTGCACAGGGTCCTGTGTGAGCATGAAGGAGGGGGCTCTGAATCAGGCTGGGGGTGGGGGTGGTCAGAAAACCTCCCAGAGGTGGCGGCACGGGCTGGTTTCTTGAGCTGCGAAGCAGTAGGGCTGGCCCAAGGGATATAAGAAATTATTGGCTGGAGGAAGGGGCAGATGGGAGACGAGGCTGGAGAACTGGCCACATGAAGGCCCTTCTGGGTTAATCCAAGAACTCTGAACTTTCTCCGGCTCCAGCCGGCTAAGGATTGCGAGTGGGGGGGGGGGGGTGATGTGACCAAATATTCCTCTTTGAAAGAGGACCCTGAAAGCAGAGTGGAAGACGACTGGAAGGGGATGAAGGCAGAGGCAGGACAACCAGTTAAGAGGCTGCTGTACCGGTGCAGGCAGGAAATGGCGAGGCCTGAACGAAAGCAGTGGGCAGAGATGGGAAGGAGCGGATAGAGACTTGCAAAGTCCAAGCAGAAGCTGCTGGACTTGGTCACTGACCCGGTGTGAGGCTGGAAGGAAGGGAACCCAGGGTGGCACCCGGGCTTGGGAGCCGGGCAAACTCTGTGTACATCTCCAGCCAAGCTCCCACATGCGTCAGGCTCCTCCATGACTGCAAGGCTTTAACCAGACCCTTCCCTCTGCTAGAAATGATCTTCTCTCTGTCTCTGTCTCTGTCTCTTTCTCCTTCCCAGGCAACAACTACTCATCTTCCCGGATGCTGTTCAAATGTCACCTCCTTCAGCAAATCTCTACCCCCCCCCCCCGCCCCGCCAACCCCCAAGCAGAGTGTCACTCATTCACCTGTCTTTCCATCTCCATCAGAACACATACTCCTCTATGTGGTGATATAACCCCCTGAAATGGTTCTTTTCCCTTTCCCCCCGTCCGAGTTTTGATAAGTGCCGTCCAAGCACAGGGCTGTCTATCTCTGGACCGCGGGTGCCTGGCCTGTTGCATGATGCCCAGTAGGGACGAAATAGTTCAGAGTGAATGGGAGATAAAGTGGCCGCTCTGGTGTGTGTTCCATGGACTGGAGTGGACCCCTGAGGCTGGCTCCTTCTGGAATCAGACCGCAAGCTCCAGGAGGGGAGAGGCTGTATCCTTGGTACCTAGAACCATGCCTGGCACATGGTGTGTACTCGGGATATTTGTTGAGTGAACTATCAACTATTTGTTGATATTTGTGAGTGAACTATAAACAGATTAGCAATGGAACTGCTGACTCTAGCAGACCAGATTGTCAGGGAGCCCTTCTGCTGCAACACATCTAAATCCTGAATCAAACACACTTTTGGATGCATTGCTGGGTTCACTTGAAGTAGGGGAAATCCACTTTACCCCCAGTAAAAAGGAACCAACCACAGCGGGGAAGCCCAGCTGGGAGGAGGGAGTAGTAAGCAGAGGGAGGAACACCATTACTCCGAGGGCATGGGCCAACATGACCTGTGACCTGTGACCTGTCACTGGAAACTGAACTTTGGGCCAACAGCAAAAAGGAACTCTCTCAGTCTTCAAGTAAAGCCAGGCCCCATAGGTGAGCAAAAGTGCTCCCAAGAATGGTCACATTACCTGGCTTCTGGGAAAATCAGATTTAAATCCTATCCAGTGGAAAAATCCTTAACCCAGGCCTTCGGGATTCCTACAGATTAAGATCATGTAAATATGGGTTTGCTTAAAAAACAGCAAATCGTAAAGAAGCAAGCAACCATGAATGACGGTCAACAGAAGGAAACCAACAATAGATTTATGTGCCCCGCCCCCACGCACTTCAGATACTGAAATCAATAGCCACAAAGAGTTACGCATGAAATGTTTTTCCAAAATAAAGGATGGAATTGCAAAGATGAGCTAGCAACAGAACACCATCAGAAATCATGAGGCACATCTGAAAAAGAACCAAATGGAGTTTCCAGACATGAAAAAATTAAATGCTAAAATTAATTAGGACTTAAATCAACAGGTTAACCTTCATGGGTTCAGCCTCTGGAGCAGACCTCTACTTCCCAGTCTAATCCTTGAGGACCCTCATGTGGTCACTTGGTCCCAAAGCCCTTGTACCTGAGTGTATTTGGGTCATGACAGGTAGGAAGGCAGTGAAGGCCATGTTGCTGTCTGCAAACAGCCATGTCACCAAAAGAGGCCATCACGTCACAGTGCTGAACGAAGCTGGCTTCCTACCCAGACACAACCTTTTTTGCTCTCACAGCTCCCAGGAAAGACACACTGGCATGCGAGAGTACACAGAAGACAAGAAGACAGCAAAATCAAGACAGTGAGGCAATGTTATAACTAGACAGGAACAGTGCCGGCTGGCTGGCTGGCCAGCCACCTTCGTGTAAAAACCAGGAGAGGAGATGTAACCATATTCACTATTGGTCTCCCGTCAATGGCAAAATATTCACATGATTATTGGGATTTGGTTATTTCTGGTGACACTTCCCAAACACCCACTCAGTTGTTCTGAGTGCGCTCTGAACGGGCCTTGCTCCAAGGGTGGTCTGCAAGGACATGTGGCCTTCAGAAGGCAGACGCCGAAGGGCTGGCGCCCCAGAGACTGCAAGACCATCCAGTCCTGACTAGACCCAGCCCTGGACCCGGAGACGGCAGTTGTGCCCTTGTCTGGGGCATCCACGGGCCGGGAGTCACACTGGCATGTCCCAAGTCCCCGCCCCAGTCTCCACAGGCACGTTCTTCCGGAAACTGGGCCTCGCTCAGTCGTTCTCCCCGACCTCAGCCCCCGGGAGACCTGTCCCCATTTGTCCCCTCCACACTCTCGGGAGTAGAGATTGACAAGAAAGAGCCATGAGGAACAGCACACGCGTCTGGTCAGACCCCGGTGGTCCCTCAGAGGCCTTGTCCCGCAGGCCTGCACCATCTGTTTCTCTTTCTCCATATGTTCATCACAACAGCCCTTCTCCCCAGGGCGGTCCTCGGCCTTCTGCCGCCCTGGGCTGGCACGCATTTCTCAGACAGGGATGAGCTGCCTCCACTATGAAGTGGAGCAAGACAAGCCATGACAAGCCTTTGGCCTGTGCCAGAGTGAGCACCTGTTGCAGAAGGCGTGGGCTGGATTTGGGGAGAAAGAGGGAAGGGCCCACAAAGCCTGTAGAGCAGAAGTAGGGGTGTGGCCAGAGTCAGACAGCAGACGGCACAACTAAAGGGGACAGAGCAGTGAGGGGACCGTCCACGGAGGGACAGGCAGCTGGGGCAGAGGCTGGAGTGAGTAGGTGGAAAAGCACACAAATTCTTGTGGACCGAGTACTTGTGGATGTGGACTTTCTCTGAAGGTCTGGTCTTGCCTCTGTTAGCACATCACTTTCTTGTGTGGCTCCAGCGAGACGGTGGTGGAGGTGACAGGCAGGACGGGAGTGGGCAGGACGCAAGGGTGCGGGGCTGAGAGGAGTCTTACTGTATTTCACTTATTTTTTAAAAGATTTTTTTTTAAGTTTATTTGAGAGAGAGAGAGAGAGGAAGCACAAATGGGGGAGAGGCAGCAAAAGAGGAAGAGAGAGAATCCCAAGCAGGCTCCACACTGCCAGCTCAGAGATTGACACCGGGCTCGAACCCACGAGCTTAACTAACTGAGCCACCCAGGTGTCCCTATTTTATTTTATTTTATTTTATTTTTTTGAGAGACAGCACGCGCGCCGGGGGGCGGCGCGGGGGGGGGGGCAGGTGGGACAGAGGATCAGAGAAGCAGGCTCTGTGCTGACAGCAGAGAGCCTGATATGGGGCTAGAACTGAACAACTCCAAGATCATGACCTGAGCCGAAGTTGGACGCTCAGCCGACTGAGCCACCCAGGTGCCCCAGGACTGAGAAGAGTCTTAGCCCCAGGCCACAACAGCTAAAGGGGCTAAGCGATGTGGCCACTGGACCCTATATATGGCCACCAGGTGTCCCCACTCATTATATAACTCGGCTCTGCTGACCAGACAGAGGCCCCCTCCCTTCTACTCTGCACTAATACCTCCCTCCCTCGTCGTGGGTGTTCTCCCTCCTCTTCCTCCCACCTTACACCCTAGGAACCAGGAGCTGTTCTCCCTCTTCCTTTAGGCCTTATCAGAACTGCTCTTCGTCCCCATTGTCTCAGAGTCTCAAGGTGGCATGGGATCCTCTCCGGTGGCCTATCAACCTTTTTCCCACCCTCCAGGGACCTCTCTTGCACTGGCTTTGGGGTCAGACGGACCTTTGCTTAAGTCCTTGCTCTTCCTACTCAGCTAAGACCTCCGGCAATCAGGAGCTTCCTCAGTTTGCTCATCTGAAAAATGGCATCGCAGTGAACTACCTCACAGGGTTGTTACGAACCTCACGTCTGTAAAAGCTCTTTATAAACTGTGAGGTGACCTTAGTTATAACTAGTTCTATATATAGTTTATAGTTACCATCTATATGTAAACTCTAGTTATCCATATATATAACTAGTTACAATTATGTAACTATTATAACGAGTCATAACTCAGCTCTAACTGAGAGCTTAGTCATTCTTCTGCACGAAACAATCTGGGTCATGGATGGGAGCCTCACATTGTCAGTTTACCTGCAACTTGCACCTGTAAGTCCTAGTCCTGCCGTGGGAGTCACAGAGTGTGTCTGTCCCTCTGCCAGCTGGACAGCCCTCCTTGGAGCTGCTCAGTCATGCCGTGGCTGCCCATTGCATTTGGCCTATGCCGGAGGCCACTGTTTCACACCTACCTGTCCTCCCTTCCTTGGCAGGCCCCAGGCGTGGGAGAACGCAGTGGCACGCCAAGAACATGGGCTTCGCGTTGGAAACTTGCTTCTCTCTCTGTGCAACTCTGGGCTGGTGACTTAGCCCTGTGAGCGATCCCTCGGTTGTAAAACCAGGAACAACGTCTCCTTGCAGGGGATGGTCCCTACGCACTCACAGCACCTGCAGCACGGCATTTACACGACTGTGGATTAATGCCATGCTCCCCGCTAGGTGAGCAGTGGCATGAGAGCAGGCCTGGTGCAGCGCGAGGCACATAGTAGGTGCCTCATGAACCTGACGTCATGGTAGCGAAGAGGGGGGCTCTCACTTGTGTGTTACTCCAGCACAGGCACTGTTGCGGTGCTAGATGAAATTCAGCCTTGAGCCCGTAGTGGAATTAAATTCCTGGGTCCCCCAAGACACTTAACTATTACCTCTAACCTCATCTCAGGCACTTAAAATCCTGCTCCGGGGCTTGCGGCCAAGTTAAGGTTTCTGCCGAGCTGTGGGAAAACCCAGAAGGATCCTTCGGCATCTTGCACGCGGCTAGCCCCGGGCTCAGCGCTTCCGGGTCTGGTCTGATTTAGCTCCCTACATTCACTGAGCCTTTATCACTCCCCTGAAGTGTTTCTCTGGCTCTGGAAGGTGGACATGAGCTGTGGGCTGGACTCTGTCTTGCCTGACCCCACTGGAGGCGGCTGGAGGAGGAAAGGGTGAGGGGGCCGCTCCCAGGGCTCTCAGTAGATGTCCGGGCCCTCCCACACCTGCCTGGAAGGGCCAGCAGCCTGGTCTCTTCCCTCTATCATTAGTCTCTGGGTCTCAGAGCCACTCTCTCTCTCTCTCTCTCTCTCTCTCTCTCTCTCACTCGCTGTCTTACCCTCTGCTTCTGGTGAGCTGCTTCTTGATGTGACACCGCAGACACTCCCTGTGAGTACCAGGCTGTCTGCTCTCTGCCCTCACCCCCTTCCCTGTCTCCCCATGTCGCCGGTGACAGCAGGGGCCCTGCCTGCCTGGGTCACCTCTGCTCCCTCAGTGCTAACCACAATGCCTGTTAGGTAGGTAGTGGGGTCATCACATGGTTGCTGAAGAAATGGATGTTTAGCCACTTCTTTTCGACTCTCTTTTGGATCCTTATGTCCAAGCTGTTCCAGCCAGAATTCTCTGGGCTGAGGTCTGCTAGGAACAGTAAAGATAATCTTGGGCTGGTTAGAGGTGGTTCTTGGGGCTGCTGGTTGAATGTGCCTGTGTGCGTGCCCGTGTGTGCATAAAATAGCGTTCCCCACGTCCATCAAACCCTAGATGGACATGTCACTTCCTCCTCACCCCTCCAGAGAAATACTCTGCCATTCACCCCCGCACCTGCACTCACACCAGATCAGAGCTGGAAGAAACCTAAAATATCCTATGCTCCACGCATACTGGAGAATTATGGGGCAAATGATACATCTCTGGAATTTGCTTTAAAATACTCCAGGAATGAAAGGCACACGAGGAGAAACAAGATGCAGTCAGGTAGGTAGGTATGTGGGGCTTCACTGACCACTCTCCCTACTTTGGTATATGCTTGAGATCTTCCGTAATAAGAGGCTAAAAAGTTAAACTTAGTTCAAAGAAGAACCATCTACTCCAACCCCCTCATTTTCAGAGATGGCTGAAGCCACTGCTCATTTTTCATGTATGACACACAGTCCTGCAAAATCCCTTGTTGCTTATTTAATGTTGGGGGAGAGGGGCTTGTGTTGCCAACCAGATTCTTGCTTCTTGAGGGCAGGGCTGTGTCCTTTGCTATTTTGTATTCTCCTATACAGCGAAAACACAGGGCTGGGCGAATTAGAAAGCACTCAATCAACAACCGAGGGCGGGAGCTGCCCAACTTTTTGCCCCTCGGACCAAGACCTCCTTCATATCCCCCTGTCCTCGGCATGTTACTCCTCCACATTCACCCCTTCCCAGCTCCTCTCTGGCTCTTGCCAAGGTGACCGAGGATGCTTCGGTCAAGGGCTCCCCTGTTTCCGTGCCTTCCGTCATCCCTGCCAGTATGTTCTCCATGTTGTCAATATTTCATTTAATTAGATCTGAATGGAGGGAGGCTCATGGGCTTGGGCCCTGCATCTCTCAGACTCCCCAAACCTCGATGCGACTGCACACACACACTGCATTGTCACGGAGCCTCTGCACTCTGGACCCTTCCTTTATAACATTTTGCCCCGCACCCTTCAAGTCACCTTCAGAGATGTGGGCTTCATGGGGCTGCAGCTGCAGGGAAGGGAACATGCTGGCCAGTCCCATGGCTCTGCATGGCTCTACATGGCGCCCCCGGTTGGTAACCTCTGTGGGAAACAGCCAGCCCCAAGTGAAGGCCAGGAGCACGTGAGCAAAGTACCAGGCCCTGGCCCAAGGACTCCATGCGCATTCACTTACTGAATCCCCCAACGCCCCAGGACACGGTCTGTGACGATCCCCACTTTGCACATTAGGAAACTGAGGCTCAGCAAGGAGAAGTAACAATCCCCAAATCCCACAGGTAATAGACAGCAGAACTGGAATTGGTGCCCATGCTCTTGACCACTGCCTTGCCGTGAGGGAAGGATGCTGGACCCAGAACACACGGCTCCGACAAGGCTGCACAGCTCCCCCCCCCCGCCCCGCCCGCCTCCCTGCGCGGCGCTTCTCCTGCGGCCCCTGGAGGGCCTGTGCACGCAACTGTTGGGACGGGCAAGCCGCTGCAGGGTGATGGTGTATCGAATAAAGGGCAGAGGGCTTCTGGGCTGCAAAGCAGAACCAGGTGGCATGAGGAAAGGGCGGCCTAAGTGACGGGCAGAGTTTATTTATGTGCTTCCTCTTCATCAAAAGGCCCCTTTACAAATGACTCAATCGACTATTAATCTTGATGAAACAGCAACCCCGATGGGGAAAAAGCGAGTTAGAAAATCTGCAAGAGGAAAACGCATGCATCTCAGCCTCAGTCCACTGGGGAGGGGACACGTGGGGACAGTGCAGGGAGGAAATCTTCCAGGGCCTGGCAAAGAGCCATGGCCGCAACCTGGGCATGTACCCAGAACCCCCTGGCCCCCTACCCCGCTTGGCTTCCCAGTCCACACCCCTGTCT